CTCCTCCTCCTCCTCCTCCTCCTCCTCCTCCTCCTCCTCCTCCTCCTCCTCCTCCCCCCCCGCCCCGCGGGCCCGCCGCCTGGCCTGCGGATGGTGTGCCGCGCCTGGCCCAGGCCGGGTGGCCCATCGGAATGGCGCCCAATGCCGCTGGGCTCGTCGCCAACGGGGGCGCCTGCGGTGGGCCCCGCGTGTGCCTGTGCTCGCTGCTCAATGTTCAGTGCTCGCAGCGGGTGCCATTCGGCTTGCTGTGCTGCTTGTGCTGGATCATGCTCAAGTGCATGCATCCTGTCTCCTGCGATGGGGCGATCGGGTCTCCAGGGTTGTGCCCGTGAAGCTTGTTGTGGTTGGTACTGCTGGTGTAGCGGTTGCACAATAGCTGGCATACCTGCTTCGACTGCTTGCTCTGTTCGACGTACTGGTTCGTCGTGGTGTTCTTGTGCCTTCTTACAGATGCTGCTCGTAGTGGAGACTTTCTGTAGCAGTTCTTGACGTGATGCTGCTATGTCTGCCTCTCGTCAAGCTGTTGCTGCTTTGTGTACTACGTGGGCAGTAGTCTGGTAGTCTTTTTGGCTTCGGGGTCACGAAGCTGGGCGTGATATTGCAATGCCTGTGCTGTGAGCTCTTCAAGTCGTTGCTGCCTGTGTTCGTTTTGCTTGTATACAGTGTCGCGGTCGCGTACTGCTCCATGTTCTTCGCGTAGTGCTGTCCCAATGCGATCTTGTAATCGTGATTATGCGTGCCTGTATGTCCAGTTGAGCTCCTGTATTTCGCGGAAGTTCTATGACAGGTGGTCGTGTGCTCCTGGTAGCTTGTGTATGGTACCTTCTGCAATATGAAGCTTTGTCTAGGTGCAATTGGCTTCTTTGGCGTTCCTGTTGTGTCGCGCTTCCTTGGTCTTCCCGTTGTCCTTGAACCGCTCGTGCTCTGTCTTCAGCAGTGCTTTTCGTCGCTGCAGTGTTTCCCGAGAAACTTTGGGTGAGCTGGGTGTGGCCGACCTAAGTGGGTCAAGTGGGGGGCGCTCAACGGGGGTATCTGTCAATCCGAACATCCTGTGTTCTTGAGACTTGGCTCAAAGTGTGCTGTCTGTTGGCAATGTTTTGTCTCGAGGTTGGTGTAAGTAAGTTAGGGTTTTGAGTATGTTGTCATCGTGTTGTTGCTGAGCTTGCTTGAGCGATGCCTCCGAGATCTTGCTGCATGATTGTGTAATCGTCCTTGGGACGACGTATGTAGTGTAGCTTCTCTGCTTTAGGCTTCTGGTCAAGTAATTGTCGTCTGATGGTTGGTATATGCTGCCGTAAGCGTTGCGCGTCTTGTCCTGCATTCTTGACGGCGACACTCTGTGAGACTAGCTTGCGTAGGTCTGCTGCTTTTGTCGCATGCCAGGATCCGGCATCCATGGGCATGGATCCAGGCTTGCCTTTGTGCTGGAGGGCGTTGTAGCATGCCTCTGGTACGTCACTGAATACTTGGTTATAGCGCGTCGTACCCGCAACATGCTCGTTGATGGCAACAAATATGGGCTGTGGAACAATCATCGCCAGTGGTTGTGGGCATGGTCGGTCATCGTGGCTTTGGTCTCGGCGTAGTGGGTCGCTGTGGCCGTGGCGGCTGAGGTTGTTGCTCCCAGAGTTGCGATTATCTGTCTTGGCGGCAATACGCATCGCTGCAGTATTGGTGGTTGGGTTGTCGCGCGGTGGTGTGGCATGGTGGACCCTGTTGTGCCGAGTAAGTGGTGCCAATGGGTTGATGTAGCTGGTGTGTCGGTTTCCCTTGCTGCTGCTGGAATGTGGGTCCTGCACACTTGCCGAAGTTGTGGTGTTGCTGGTACTTGCTCTTCCACCTGCCTTTGGCATGGGGTGACTGTGCGTACGTAGTCAGACAGGTTATACAACCTCGGTCGTGGTGGTTAATGGCCCTATGGTGTTGGTCAAGCAGTTGATAACCTGTTGTATAGCTGCTGCTGGGTGTGCCAGTCAAGTAGACTGCGTGCCGATACAGCTCGTAACAATGTACGTGCTGCTGCTCTTTGCTGGCGTTGTCGTCTGTGCCAGGCTGGTTCCGCAGGTGCCGCAGTCTTCGATGACGTGGTGGTGCTGCTGCGTGTGCAGAAGTACGTGCAGCGCACTTCGACATGACGAGGTTAGTGCCAGCGTGGGAAAAGCCGCTGTAAAGCGTCGCGGGTATAAGGGAATCAAGACGGAGCGCAACTGGCCATCGCTCGGACGTCCATTCCCTGTGTTTTTCTTCGGTTTCGGGCGTGTTTTTTTCGCCGAAAGATCAAGGGTGCTCCTCGATGGTCCTCGCCGAAGGAAAAATGCACACGTCCGAGCGATGCCAAGGCAACAGGTACGAGCGTAGAGAGCACAAGGATAGGATGATAGGAGAGCTGTCGCGGCTGCCCTGGCACTGGGGCGGCCCGCTGCCCCCACAGCGCCAAAACCTCTCGGGCGGTTGATGGCTTGCCCCTCCTCCTCCTCCTCCTCCTGCCCCTCCTCCTCCTCCTCCTCCTCCTCCTCCTCCTCCTCCTCCTCATCCTCCTCCTCCTCCTCCTGCCCGTCCTCCCAGTCCAGCTCTGCCTCCCTGGCCCTCCTTTCCCTCGCGGGTGCCCTCCTCCCCGTCTGCTCGTCCGGCGTATGGATGAGGGGCAGAGGTTCGGGGGAGGCCGCCAGCTCAGGGCGGGAAAGATCGACTTGGCATCGGCAACCCGTCGACGCTGGATCTGAGGAGGAGGAGGAGGAGGAGGAGGAGGAGGAGGAGGAAGAGGAGGAGGAGGGGAAGGGAAAGAGGTGGAGGAGGAGGAGGAGGAGAGGGAGGAGGGGAGGGGGAGGGAGGAGGAGGAGGAGGAGGAGGACAGGAGAGAGGAGGAGGAGGAGGAGGTGAGGAGGAGGAGGTGGTGGACGAGGAGGGGGGGGGGGAAAAGAGGTGGAGGAGGAGGAGGAGGAGGAGGAGGAGGAGAGGAGGAGGAGGGAGGGAGGAGGAGGATGGAGGAGGAGGAGGAGGAGGAGGAGAGGAGGAGGAGGGAGGAGGGGGGGAAAAGAGGTGGAGGCGGAGAGGAGGAGAAGGAGGAGGGGAAGGAGGAGGAGGAGGAGGAGGAGGAGGAGGAGGAGGAGGGGGGGAAAAGAGGTGGAGGAGGAGGAGGAGGATGCAAAACAGGCCCCGGACAGCGAAGTCGCACGGTCCTGGGCGGGATGATGGCCCTGCCAGGGCCTATCATCGGCGGTCCGTGGGCGATGGCGGGTCGATGGATGCATCTCGCCCGCCCTGCGCCCCGCCCTTCTGCTCGTCTTGAGCCTTGACCCTCCTCCTCCTCCCCCTCTCCCTCCCTCCTCCTCCTCCCCCTCCTCCTCTCCTCCTCCTCCTCCTCCTCCCTCCTCTCCTCATCCCTCCTCATCCCTCCTCCCTCTCCTCCTCCCCCTCCTCGTCCTCCTCCTCCTCCTCCTCCTCCTCTGCCTCCTCCTCCTCATCCGGAACAAATCATCCTCGGATCTCTGGGCGCCGAGGGGGAGGGAGGTGGAGGAGCAGGATAGGACGGGTTACCGTCCCCGCGCGCATCTTCCGCGTACATCCTCTGCGTGCATCCAGCAGCTGTGAGAAAACAGCGATCTGCTCTATTGCGTACATCGACTCCCCGTGAATCACCCCTCTCGTCCTGGTCTACCTGCGCGTCCTTACCATCCTCTTCAATCCTTGCCCTCCTCCTCCTCCTCCTCCTCAACGCCCTTCTCGTCGTGCTCTTCCTCCGTGTCCTGGATCTTGGCTTTGGCAGTCACGATTGTGCGATCGCTGGTGTGTGAGGGAAAGGGGCGAGGCCAAGGAGGTGGTGAGGGAGGCGGGCTGTGGAAAAGGATCGGCAGGTATGCTGAGGCGAACGGGGAGAGGCAGGTCTCCCCTTCGCCCTCCTCCTCCCTCCTCGTCGTCCGCCTCCTCATTAACGGGGAAAGAGAACAGGGAGGACGGGGACGGCAAAAGCTTCCCATTCTCCTCTCACTCCTCGTCCTGCCCATCTCCGATGATCCCCAGCTTGAGAGCAAGGGGGCGATCAATCATCCAACTCCTTTTCGGTCGGCCCGCCCTCCTCCTGTCCAACCATGTTCAAAGGGGTATCCGGGGTGAGGATCTGGCCGGGGGGGGGTCGGATAAGATTGATCCTCCTCCATTCCTTTTCCTTCTGACTCCTCTCTGTCGCACCCCTAAGCGTGTCGTAGGTCGGGCCGGGCGTTCGCCTGAGACTTCCTCACCAGTGACCCTGAAGCTTGTTAAACACTGCACGAGCTTCGCAAATGGAGAGGGCGGTCTGCTTCCAAAATGTGGCTCTCGCCTCAGCGCCGCGCACATTCGTGTTAAACATTTGCAAGGGCTTCACGGATGGAAGGCGGCCCGCTTCCAGAACAGGTGTTGCCTTCGTGCCGCGCATGTTCGTTATACGAGTTCACCGCAGTTTCCAAGATTCGCATGGCTAACGTCCTAGAAATAATAATTTGGCGCGATGTAAGACGCTCAGGCAGCAGCAATTCTGTTGATTCGCGGTGCGGCCCCAAGAAAAATGTCCTGGCACGATTCAGGATGACCGAGCCGCAACAATAACGGTGATTCCCAAGAACGGTGTTCTGGAACACTTCACGGTCTTCAAACGGTTCTCCTCCAACAAGAGACTTCCCTCAGCGCAAATGAATCCTCGCAGGGGCCTATGACGAGGGAGTTCGGAAGGAAGGTTTACCGCAACATCGTTGATGAAATTCGGGTTTGCACTGGTCATCCTCTTCCTCCTCCTCCCCCACCTACCCCACCGCCACCTCCTTCCCTTCGCTTTTGTTCTCGTCGTCCTCGTCTTCGTCCTCCTGTTCTTCCTCCTCGTATCTCACGATCGTTGAGGGAGAGGGACAGGGATGATGACCCCCGCTCTCGTCCACGAGGGCGAAGACACATACCAGGAAAGAGTCGACGACGGTGGTGATGAAAGGTGGATGTCGACACAGCACAATGATCAAGATGACGTGGGCCTTGACGTTGTCGATTGTGTCCGATGCCTCTACGTCGAGCGTGATAGTTTTCCCCGTCAGCGTCTTCACGAAAATCTGCATCGCTATTGCGCCTGCGGCGTCGGCGTCGTCGTAATCCACCCCATCCCCATCCCGTCCCCCTCCTCCTCCTCCTCCTCCTCCTCCTCCTCCTCCTCCGCCTCCTCCTCCTCTTCCGCCTCCTCCTCCTCCTCTTCCTGCTCCTCCTCCTGTTCCTCTTTCTCTTCCTCCTCCTCCCCACTGCTCTCGTCTGTCTCGCCCTCCTCCTCAATAGCCTTCCTCTTCCTCTTTGTCCGTCTCGCCCCGTTCCTTTTTGTCAAATTTGTGCCACGGTAGCTGCGTGTTACTGTTACAGCGCGGCTGCCATGGGTGACCTGGGACATTCTGCTGTTGTCTCCTACTGCGCCTCGTCATAAGTACGGTTGCATATCTATATGTACATACAACTGTACGCAAACATGTTTTGATTCGCGGGTCGAGAGCGCACCTCTTCCGGTCGAAGCTAAGCGGGCCGCGCGAAGCTTGAATTGACCAGAGATGGGGGAGGAAAAGGGGGGCGCAGCCTCAGAACACAAACGCAAATGCACGCAAACATGCATGTATCATATTGAAGACTGCGGGGTCGCGGTGCGGATTGTTCTTGGGTGGTTGCGTTGTCGTTGTCGTCGTCGTCGTCGTCGTCGTAATCGTCGTCGTCCTCGCCCGCGGCCCGCGTGCGACCCACCCCGCGGCCCACCGCGAAAAAACCATTCGCGACCCATCCCGTGACCCACCTGCGATCCATCCGCGGCCCACCCGCGCTGCAGTGACGACAAAATCGGCGCATGCGGCAGGCTCGTTGTGTAACGTGTCAGAAAAAATACCCTGCGACGTACCCAACCCGCGTGCATCAAATGGCAAGAGGAGTATGCCAACATTAGCAGGAACAACGACAGTGTAGACGCGGCGATTTGCTGCGCAAGCTACGTGGGATGCGCATGCGTTGCACGATTCACAGGACGACGATCGAAAGAACGAGGCTTGAGGCCCCAGGATCGAAGAAGAACGGGTACGGGAACGAGGGGTAGGAGAGGGATGGAATGGAGGGCGGGGGGGGCGAAAGGCCATCGCGGAAGCAGCAGCATGCATGGAGAAGGTGAGGCGGGGAATAGGACGACGATGAAAGTGGCGGGAGGAGACAGAAGACTGCCGCGTTTTTCAAGTGCGAGCTAAACCCGCAGCGCTGCCTGCGCCATGTCGTCGCAGAGTTCCACATGATAAAACTTGTTTAGAGTGCAAGGAACGAGCGAGGCGTAGCTCGCCCGCTAGCTTCTCCGCCTCCTTCCCGCACATTTCAGCGCGGGAGCTGAACGCTCGCAGGCGCGCCGCCAGGTCTGCGGGCGGCCCGCGGGAAAGAAACTCAAGGCCGGGGTCGCGTATCATCAATCGGTTGTCCATCGTCCAAAGTTGCACTGGCGACGTGCTGGTTGAGCGCGGAGCGAGCAGCATCGCGCGCGTGCCTGAACGCCACGCAGGTACAGTGCACGCGCGATTGGGACTTCAGGTCGATCACGCGCGTCTCCACCAGGCTTGGCAACACCACGCGACTGAGGATCCCACTGCGGTCTGCCATGCTGCTGTCCGCGAATGCAATGCGCTGCCTGCAAGTAAGGCGGCGGCGTCCACTTGTCTCAGAAGATGTTCCCGCGGGCCCGAAGGGCGACCGCCAGCTCGAGCCGCGGCGCCGGCAGGCCAGATAAGGATCATGCAACAGCAAAGACGATGACAGAGCAACGAGGTATCGGCGAGTGCATGACCGGCCTCCGTTTCCTGCACTTCTTTCCTGTAGTTCCCCTAGCTCATCGAGCTCAGCAGATGTTTCTGCGGGTCCGAAGGACGACCGCCAGCTCGAGTCGCAGCGCCACGTGGCACGAACCGCAGAGCAAGGGCACGCGAGCATTGCTCGTGGTCAGAATCTGAGTCCCCGTGGTGCCTCACTCCGCTGGCCACCCACCAGCAGCCCTCGAAAGTGGCGACAGTTTCACAGATCGCAGCCGCCCAGGGGTGGCGAGGTCTAATCTGAGTCCCCGTGGTGCCTCACTCCGCTGGACCCACCAGCAGCCTCGAAAGTGGCGACAGTTTCACACAGGGATGGCGAGGTCTAATCTGAGTCCCCGTGGTGCCTCACTCCGCTGGACCCACCAGCAACCCTCGAAAGTGGCGACAGTTTCACAGATCGCAGCCCCCCAGAGATGGCGAGGTCTAATCTGAGTCCCCGTGGTGCCTCACTCCGCTGGACCCACCAGCAGCCCTCGAAAGTGGCGACAGTTTCACAGATCGCAGCCCCCCAGAGATGGCGAGGTCTAATCTGAGTCCCCGTGGTGCCTCACTCCGCTGGACCCACCAGCAGCCCTCGAAAGTGGCGACAGTTTCACAGATCGCAGCCCCCCAGAGATGGCGAGGTCTAATCTGAGTCCCCGTGGTGCCTCACTCCGCTGGACCCACCAGCAGCCCTCGAAAGTGGCGACAGTTTCACAGATCGCAGCCCCCCCCCAGGGATGGCGAGGTCTAATCTGAGTCCCCGTGGTGCCTCACTCCGCTGGACCCACCAGCAGCCCTCGAAAGTGGTGACAGTTCCGCAGATCGCAGCCCGCCAGGGATGACGTGAAAGGCAAGAGAAGAGAAGAGGAGGAGCGAAGAGAGGAGGAGAAGGCAAGCAAGAGAGGAGAGGAGGAGGGAAGAGAGGGGGGGGGCGGGAGGAGGAGAACGGAGACCGCAGTGCTCTATTCAAAACGAGTACCCAACGCAGGAGGGTTGGGAAAAAAATGCGCCTGCGGGGGGGGGGGGGGGACTTTCGTCGGAATCTTGCCATCCGCTGAGGACCCCGCCGCCCCCTTTGCTCCTATCCGCAAGCGCAGGGTACTACACGCACACACCCACCCACCCACGCACGCACACACGCACGCACGCACGCACCCATATACAAACACACACACACACGCACGCACGCACGCACGCACGCACGCACACACACACACACACACGCACACACCCACACACGCACACACTCACACACGCACACACGCACACACGTACCACACGCACCACACGCACCACACGCAACGAACGCACCACGCGCACCACACGCACAACACGCACAACACGCACAACACGCACAACACGCACAACACGCACAACAAGCACACGACGCACACGAACACGCACACGCACACGCACACGCGCACACGCGCACACGCGCACACGCGCACACGCGCACACGCACACACGCACACACGCACACACGCACACACGCACACACACACACGCACACACGCACACACGCACACACGCACACACGCGCACACGCGCACACGCGCACACGCGCACACACGCACACACGCACACACGCACACACGCACACACGCACACACGCACACACGCACACACGCACACACGCACACACGCACACACGCACACACGCACACACGCACACACGCACACACGCACACACGCACACACGCACACACGCACACACGCACACACGCACACACGCACACACGCACACACGCACACACGCACACGCACACACGCACACACGCACACACGCACACACGCACACACGCACACACGCACGCACACACGCACACGCACGCACACGCACACGCACACACGCACACACGCACACACGCACACACGCACACACGCACACACGCACACACGCACACACGCACACACGCACACATGCACACATGCACACACGCACACACGCGCACACGCGCACACGCACACGCACACGCACACGAGGAGCGGTGATGGAGCAGGAGGGGAAGGAGGAGCGAACGCCCGCCGAGGGGGACAATCCATCCGACTGGGGGCGGCCGGACGGCCCCGCGCCGCCCGCGAGACAAGTGGGCAGCCTCAGAGCACGGCGCGCGGCGGCGACAGGGGCGGCTTTCTTGTTGACGATATTGTTCAGGTAGGCCACCGCCCTGGCCTGGGAGCCGGAGGTCGGGAAGGGGTCAGGTAGTCCTGGAATTAATGCGCCTGAAATTGAGGGTATTATAGGCGACTGCCATGCGCACGATGGCGCGGTCGATGTCACCCTCGCCATCAGGGATCTCGCAGTTCAGCCCCTTGCGCTGGAGGATGCTTGCGGACGCGATGACGCGTAGCTGGCATAGGTGTGACCACAGCCTCGGGTAGACAAAGTAATTCGCGATGTCGTCGGCGTTCTGCCCGCTCTCGACTTCGGGGCAATCGACGACGCAAACGAGTTTGCACGGGTGGAAGGGCATCCGGTAGCTTGTTGTCCATGCGCCTGGCGGCGTCTCGAGGGCCCGCCGCAGCTTTGAAGGAAGAACTCGACATAGATGTTGGCGCAAAAGTCGCCCACTCGGAAGACAGCGACGTAGGCCAACCCTGGATGCCAATCGCGTCCGCGACCGGGTTCTCGTCGCCACCTCGTGCTGTGTCGCGAAGCATCCGTTGGCCTTCATCGCGCACGTCTTCCGCGCAGAGCCAGCGGCGGCGAACGCGCTGTTCTGTTGCTTCTTCGTCGCGTTCTCGCTGGGCGGCAGCAGGCGGCTGCGCGGCCATGTAGATCATGATGCGACGTCTGCGCGGGCGGGCAGCAGCGTGCCAGTTCCTGCCATCCTTCAAAAGCTGTCTGGCCGCGGCCATCGCCGTCTTGACAGGGGCCGATCATTTCGTCGAACTACGGGCGGCAAAGGGCGCCTGTCAGATAGGGCACCACTTCATCCTGTCGGTGTAGTCGAGGAAGTTGGGGTCCGAGAGCACGCTCGGGATCCATCGCGACGCCCACGCTGCGGCGCGCTCAGTCATGTAGATAGGCGATGGATGGTTCGGGATCGGGATCAGGTTGCGTGGGTTGGTCCCCTCGAAGCCCATGCAAGGGTCGAGCGCGTTGTTCAAGCCCGAGTCGTGGAAACCAGAACTGTAGGCGATTGATGATTGCCTTAGCGAACGCATCGCGGTAAAGGATGCTCTGGATCTCGAGCAGATACCATTGTTGAGGAGACTTCGACTTCGATGCTTGTCATTTTCCTTGAACATTGCCACGACTTTGGATCCTGTTACGACCCTCTCCGAAAGGCGCCAATCGTCCAACTGCAACGGCGCGGCTGCGAACGGCTTCCAATGCTTGAGCGGCTCGCGCCGGCGTGCCCAGCGAGCGCTCGAGCGTCTTGCGGATCGACCCTTTGCACGTCAGGAAGAAGGGGTTGTTCGCAAACATCTCGAAGCGATGTGCGATGGGCAGCCGGCCCCCCCAGCAGTCAGCGCGCCAGCGTCCATTGATACCTTGGCAGATCCAAAGGCGATCTTCAGCAATGAACGATGGGGGGGGGCGAAGCAGGCGATCTCACGTCGTCGGCGTTTTTGCGGCTGCGCGCCGCATCGCAGCCGAGATCAAGGTCTCGAGCCGCAGCCGAGAGCAAGGTCTCGAGCCCATGCGGCATCTCAACCCCAGTACAGCGTGTAGATGAGAAGATGTCATCTTGGCGAAGCTGGATGGAGCTGCGCGTAGACGCTCGCGCAGAGCACGCAGCACCTGAGGGGTGGAAGCCAGGCGAGGGCGGGCGCGGCTGGCCGGCATACGAGAGGAGGGTGACCGCGGCACCGTTGAAGAGCTTGATGCTCTGCTGGGGCGGCGAGCGAGCATCCCGAGAATTTGGGCTCTGTCCAGCCGCTTGCTGGAAGCGCCTTCCACTGCGTGGAAAGAGAGGCGCCGGGGCCAATGGGCGGGGCGAGGTGCCTCGCGTAGCCGGCACTCTTGAAGGGGCCCCAGGACACACACATAAATACACACACAGAGAAAGGGCCCCCCATATGTCCCCGTATTTTCGGGGTTTCTGTCCTCCCCCCCACTTCCCATATTTTCCCATATTTTCTGGGGGATCGAGGATGAATTGCGTCTGTGTGTTTCTTTCCCTCCTGAACTCTTGAAGTCGCGCCATGGCGGAGACGCGTCGGCGAGCGGCCGCCGTGCCGCGCGAGCTGCGGGGCGGGCGGCGCCCGGGCCGGGGCGCAGCTTCTGCCGGCGTGGGAGCTGCCTCTCGACGTCGCGAAGTGCTGCCGGGATGCTGCCCAGGTCGTCGGCGCGCGCGCCGGCGAGGCCGCGGCCGACGCGGTCGCGCCCGCGCGCGGCGGCTCCGGCGATCGGCCGAAGATGAGCGCTCGCAGCGCGCCGCTCGGCGGGCAGCCTGGAGCGACGCCAGGCTCGGCCACGAGAAGAGCGCGACGATGAAGGGGCCCTGGGACACACCAATAAATACACACAAATAAAATATATTCTCCATATTTTCCCATATTTTCTGGGTTTCCGTCTTCCCCCCCACTTGCCATATTTTCCCATTTTTTCCGGGGAATCGACGATTACTTGTGTCTGTGTGTTTTTCCCCTCCTGAGACGAACTCCACCCAGCTCGAAAAATTTGAGAGGCCTGTGGTCGCAGGATCCAAGCAACTGGAGCATGTGTCCGTGGATGCCCCGGCGCTCAAGGGCCTCCCAGAGCCACTCGTGCAGCAGGCGTAGGCGGCCGCGATGTCCATGCTGGCGAAGCACGGCGTGAGCTCGCGGGCGTCTTCGGAAATGCTGAGCTTGCGCGAGACCGAATCGACTTCGACGATGCTGTTCAGGAGCTGCCGTCCGTTGACGAGGCCCGGCTGCTCCTTGACAGTCTGGGCAGCGACGCGGTGCACCGCGCGGTTCGCGGCGGGGGTGATGAGCTCGATGTCGCTGTTTGTCATGGCGAGCGGGCGCAGACAATCGGGGGGCCTGGTGCAGTCGAAGTTGTCGAGGGGCTCGTCACCTTTCGGCAACGCGGCCATCATCGAGTAGTTCAGGTTGAAGGAAATCGCGCCGCCGCTAGCGAGCGAGCGGGGGGGGCTTGACCAGGGGCCCGAGTCTGCCGTGGGAGTTGGCCCACGCGCGGCGGGGAAGTCCGCCCGGTCCAGGCGCAGAGTCACCTGCCTTGCGGGCAGTGCCCTGAAGGCCCCGAAGGTCAAGCACGGTCAGTCAACGCGATCACGAGTTGGAGAATCTCCATCAAAGTGGCGCTCCACGTTAGAAGCTTTTTATCGGACTTGGCCGGGAAGACATGGCCCCGTTGGCACTGGGCCGCGCTGCGCGCGGCCATCGGGTCGGCGGCGACGCGGCGATGGGCGCCAGTTCAAGGCGGGCGCCGGCCAGGGCCGAGCGTCTGGCGAAAAGCTTCCAGCGCTCACCCAGTTGCTCTGCGCAGCGAGCACGCTGTCGTCATTCCCATATCTCGCGGGGCTGGCGGTTCGGCCCCTGGAAATCGGCTCGAGAGCGGGCGGCGGCTTCCTGGCGACGCCTGTCAACGAGAGCCAGGTGCGCGGAATCGACCTCCGTCGCGAAGTCGTCGGCGTTGGAGATGGAGATGCCGCCGTCGTCGAAATTGAAGTGGGCGGCGCCAGCCTCGACGCCCGCGACCGGCAGCTCGGCGAGCCGAGAGACCTGGAACCGCGCGGCGCCCGCGATGCTGCGCAGCGTCATGGCCCGCGCCTCTTGGCAGATGTGCTGGTCGGAGTCACTCGACTTTGTTGGGCGTATCTTGACGAGGGCGACGCGGGCTTCCTGCGCCGCCAGGGTCGCGGCGCGCTTCGGCGCGCGCCATTTCGGGGGCGGGCCGACGTCCGACGTATCCACCGTGCCCAGGAACAGGCAAGACGTAGGACTGGTAGCGCATGAAGTCGAAGGCGAAGAAGGCAAGCGCGCCGCTCTCCGCTGGCGGGCGTTGCGCCCGAGGACGGCGACGAAGGTGGAGCGCTGCGCGGCCGCTCGCGGGGGCCGCTCGCAGGTTCGCCGGCTTTTGTCCAGCGGGCGGCCGTCGACGGTCAGGCGGACCTCCAGGCGTGGGACGTTGCAGGCAACGGTGTGGAGATGTAGCGGCGGTGGATTGTAGCTTCCGTCTTGTCGGCCGAACAGCGGCGGGCGGCGGGGCGAGTGGCGACCTCCACCGTCGATGCGAAGCTCCGTTGCTAGGACGGGCGCCGGCGCTGGAAGTGCTCCGTCGCGTGGGCGACGATTGTCCGCAGGGCGCTCTTGGGCGGCGCAGGTCAGGATGAGGTCGTGCGCGTCTGCGTCGGCGCGTCGCGAGCGTGGGCGATGTCCCAGGCGTGCTCGAATTTCTGTCTGCCCTCGACTGTCAGCTCGTGCGCGCGCGTTGAAGATGGCGGCCTCGTACCTGCGCGAGCTGTCCAGTACCCGCGGCCCAGCTGCGCGCCTAGTTGCGGCAGCGCGGAAGTCGCGTGCGCGGCGCCGCGAGGCCGACGCCCCCAGCGGTCTCCCCGCCCCCCCCCCCCCCCGCAGGCGGAGCGCAACGCTCAGTAGCGATGCCCTGTGGACTCGGCGAGGATCTGTTCCACGAGACGATGCCGAGGCTGTCGGACTGCTGCTTGATGAACCAAGGAGGCCAGCGCGTGCTAACGCCACTGCACGGCAGACGTCGGGCCCGCGAGAGCTGCGCAGGACTCGGTCGTCGACGTCGTGTCCTTCGGGGGGAATGCTGGCCGGTGCGGCGGCATTCGACCAGCGCGCTCTGGCTGCCTGCGGTGACGCGCGCGATGTGCGGGCCGTTGGCCGCGATGTAGCCGTGCGCGCGATGGATCTTGACTTCGAGCTGGGCGTGCTTTTCGATGGGAAGCTTGCTCAGTTTCTTGAGCTGAGCCCCCCGTTGAAACCTTCGCGGTGACTTATCCGCGGCTGCGAAGAGTAGCGTGGGACCTGGGCAGATTGGACGGAGAATCTGCGCCGGTCTTTTCCATGTCGAAGGGCGTCGAGTAGAGTGGCAGCGCGATGGGGGGGCAATGACATCGCCGACAGCGAGCGTAAGTGGCATCCTCTTCCCATGACCAGAGGTGTTGAAGCAAATGTCGTTAATGTCGACGGCAGTTGCTTGGAACCAATCTGCGAGGGCACCCTCGAGCGCGCCCGCGCCCAGTTCGGCCCCGGCCCCGCGCCAGAAGATTGCAGCGCGTCGTTTGCCCAGCGCATGGGTGTCGATGGAGGAGCGAAGAGCTCCAGCCGCGGCTGCGGGGCGCTTGATGGAGGCGACGCTTTCTTGCATTCCGGCATGCAGGGTTGCTGCTCGATCGGCGCGAGTCTTGGCGCCCGCTAGGTCCTGATGCGGCCCGGGCGATGGTCTCGGTGAATTGAGCTTGAGATCGGGCAGTGGCTTGCTCTGCGACGACCTCGAAAGCGGCCGAGGCCTTCTCCATTTGTTATTGCAAAAAGGTTGCAAAGGCAGTTCCGTTGATTGCACGGGGGCACTGCTGCGAGAAGTTCGGCGGCCCCAACTGCCCGCGGGCCCGCCGCGCCGCCCGAGCCCTTCCATTCGCCATCGTCTGCTGCCGAGCCCAGGGGAGTGACCGCGTCGAGGTGCGATGGGTCAGGCCCGCGCAAGCCCCAAGTGCAGTGGGCGCGCGGCACGCAGGCCAATTGCGGGCGAACGCAGCGGAGGTCGTTGCGAAGCTCGACCTCGCGGGCGCGAAGAGGTGTGGAAATTGGTCTTGCGCTGGCCTTTGACCGGGGGCCCCCGTGCTCCGTCGCGGAGCGAACGCATCTGGGGCCACAATGGCCACGGATATGGAAGAGGAAGAGGGGGGGGGGGGCGAGGAGGGGGGCGAGTAGGAGGACGACGAAGTGGAAAAGGAGGATGAAGAGGTGGAGGGGGAGGAGGAGGAGGAGAGGTGGAGGGGAGGAGGAGGAGGAGGAGGAGGAGGAGGAGGAGGAGGGGGAGGAGGAGGAGGAGGAGGAGGAGGAGGAGGAGGAGGAGGAGGAGGAGGAGGAGGAGGAGAGGAGAGGAGGAGGAGGAGGGGGGGGGGGAGGGAGGAGGAGGAGGAGGAGGAGGAGGAGGAGGAGGAGGAGGGACGAGGACGAGGAGGAGGCCTCGAGGAGGAGGACGAGGACGAGGGAGAGGAGGAGGAGGAGGAGGAGAGGAGGAAAAAAAGGGGGGGGGGGGGGGGGGCGAGGAGGAGGAGGAGGAGGCGGAGGACGAGGGAGGAGGAGGAGCAGAGGGGGGGGAGGGGGGAGGGAGGGGGGGAGGAGGAGGAGGAGGAGGAGGAGGGGCGAGGGGGAGGAGGAGGAGCGGAAGGGGGGGGGGGGGGGGGGCGAGGAAGGGGCGGGGGGCAAGGGGGGCGGTGGATTTGGCATCGACGGCCAAAAACTGCCTTCGGAGGCGAGGTGGGGCCCGCCCGCCCGCGGCGCCGACCGTCGCTCCGCAGCTGCTGGGGAGCGACTCGGAGCAGGAGGAACGCAGCGACGGCCAAACATGTGCAGAGCGCCAGCGAGAACAGCGGCAGGAAAAGGATCGACCGATCGATCGATCGAGCTCTCGGGCCAGCTCGGCGCCACTCGCTACTCCCCCTCGACAAGAGCTGAGCTGCTGTCCAAAATCTAACATGGCCTGGCTGCGTTCACTTCGTGGAACGGGGGTCGCAGGAAGAAAGGTGGGCGCGGCGAGCGGTTTCCGCGCGCCGGCGGCGACCGCGAGCCGAACCGCGGGCCGCGCAAGCGGCCTACGGCCTACGCGGGCAATGGCGCTGGGACGATGGCCCGGCGCTGTCGCGCGCGCGCCGCGGGGCGCCCCGCCGGGCTCCGGGCGGGGAGGAGTGGGGCAGTGGGGCGAGGGGCATCGCGCGCAGGAGCGTCATGGCGAGTGGCGGGGACAGCGGACTCAGGGATTGCGTTTTGGCCCCACGCCCCAGCGCCTCGAAAGGCCAGCCGAAATTGGGCCGGCGACAGGCCCGCCGCCGCGGAGGGGCCGGCAACGCCCGGGAACGCCGCGCAACCCCAGGCGGGGGGGGCAGCCGCAATGAAAGTGTTGAAGCGTTGCAATTGCCAGTCTCAAAAATCACACCGTTACTCTGCTTGCACTACTTTGGACGCCGGCTGTTACGCCCGGTAAGCCATGCGAAATGTGCGGCGCGCGAGAGGGGAGAGGTGCACCTGCTCGCAAGGCCGCTCGCGGCCGCGCCCGAGCTGTGACACTTCCGCCTTGAGCAATTGAGGATAACTGAACGGTCCAGGCAATCCAACGCCGCAGCGCGATGGCCAATCGGGTCCTGCGAGACGCATGCAGGTCGCAGTCTTCTGAGCAGTGGCCAGGGGCTGGCCGGGAATTAAAACGCTTGCCGCGGAGACAGACGGCGCGCCGCTAGACCCCACGCCACCCCCCTTCATTGTGCGACTGCTGGGGCTTAGCAGGAATGCGCGGCGCATGCTCATCTTCACTGGGGGCATCATTCGGCCGCAGGTGTAGCAGACCAGCACCAGCATCCAACGTGGCACGAGTACGACCGATGCTGACATTTGCTGCCGTCAGCAGCTCGATGTCTTCGGAATGAACTTCCACAACATGCGTGGCGCCCAAATCGGCCCTATACCATGCCTCTGCGAAACCGTTTCTGCGCGAGTCGACAACGACCGCGTCGATATCTCGAGGGGCGGCAACCGCGCCGCGCGAACCCGCGTCAGCGGCTTGAGCGCAGCACTGCAATGACGCCCACGGCTCAATGCGCTTCAGGGACACCTGTTCAGGCTTGGCCCTCGCAGCAGTCCTGGCGACGCTGCTGGAATCCTAGAGCGCCGTAGCCTGCGAAGCAGACGTCGAGGCAACTTCAGCCTAAGTGTCGGCGCTCAAGCTCGGCCCACTGGGAGGTCTGGTGTAAGCGCCCCGAGCGGACGCCCTCGGCTCCGCCGTCGTCTCTCTCCTGGGGTCGATCATGCAATCGCAACTGGCAGCCCTGGAATGCTCTCTGACAAAACGGAGGGGCGCGATCCGTCTATGAAGAAATAGTCCAACATGCCAATTTTCAGACTGCCTCCGTTGGGAGGCCGAAGCAACTCGCCGAACCAAACAAAACCCGGGGCCGTCTTCCGCTTCCGCGCGGGGGCGAAGGTAGCGATCGGCGGGTCGTCGAAACAAAGTTTCAGAAACAAGCCCGCGCGCGCCGTCGGATTCCGAGGCCGCGGCCTCGAGGGCGGAGACGACCAGGCTCTGATCCACTGAAGCGGTCGTCGCCTCTTGGACAGGCTCGGGCCGGAACTCCCGCGCTCCGTGGAAGACGGCGCCGTCGCGCCCACGTCCGAATCCAGGCGGTGGAATAAATGCCAAGAGGGATGATTTGACCTCTGTCGCCCTGGGAGGTGACGACAGACACCGCGGCCCATCGCCCGGCCGAGGCGAGCGGGGGACGCGCGCGCAGCGACGCTCGGCCCTCCAACGGGCCTCCGGGAGCGAGGCTGCCTCGAAACAGCGGCGCCCGAGCGCGCTCTGGCCCCCGCGGGCCGAGGGCGCAGCGGACCGCGTTTGGTTGCGGGCCGGCGGACGCCGCCCCCCCTGCCCCGGCGCAACGTGGGGGCGAGAGCCGCCCGCCAGCGCGGGTCGCCGCCCGAGAGGGCGGCCGCGGTGAGAGCTCCGAGTTACATGGGGCTCTGGGACACACAAAGAAACCGATGCAAATAACAGGATTCCAAATCTTTTCTTATATTTTCTGGGTTCCTGTCTTTTCCCCCCCACTGCCCATATTTTCCCATATTGTCCTGGAAGTCGACGATTAACTGCGTCTTTGTGTTTTTCCTCCTCCTGAGAGTTGATGGACTGGCCTAGCCGTCGAACGGCACGTGCTGCAAAAACCAGCGTAGATCCTGGCCGCTGGCGCGGGCAACCGCGGAGCCGCGCGAGGCCCCGGCGACGGGGCCCGCAGAGAAAACCTGCAGGGCGGTGGGCCGCTCGATCATGCTGGGGCGCGGTTGGGGACTGCTAGCCGCCGCGCTTGCCGCGGCGACACTGGCAGGAGAAACGGCAAGAGGAAGAGGGGGGGGGGCTCGGCAACGGCCATGACGGCGCCACCTCGTTCACCACGCAACATCTAAGGCCGGGGTCTCGGCGGGGCGGCGCGCCCCGCCGACGGCGCACTCGCGCCCCGCCACCCTGGGGACTCAGCCTCGCCCCGAAAGCTGAGGCCAAACATTGCAAGGCCACGCTGGAGGTCGACCCCAGTGCCAGCCCAGGCCCCCCCACTCCGCCCCGACGAAGAAGGCGGGGGGCTCCTGGATCGCGGCGGCGCGAGAGAAGGGGAGGTCGCTCTAGGCCATCCTGGCCGCGAGGAAATCGCAGCCAGAGTCCGATCGCACAGGCGCCGGGGCAACTCGAAGGTTTTCTGCGAAGGATGGCGGCCGCGCGAAATCCGCGCCAACTGTCGTTCCCGACCCGAGGGGCGGGCGCGCGAGCAATCTGGCGCGAGGGCCGCCATGCCACCGCGACCACCAACGACGCACATCGAACCGCGCGAGGCGCGGGAGGCCAGGGGGCAGTCGGCCCTGCCCGCGAGGTCCGCGACCCCCTCATCAATGATGGCCCAGGCCAGGCCAGACATGGAGGTCGGGCCACTCGGCTCGACCATCTTCACGCGTCGCCCAAGCTCGCCCGACCCATCCACCTCCTCAGGAAGAGACGGGACTTCAGTATAGATGTGCCAAGCGAATTGATGCCGACATGCTCGAACTACAGACTGCCACTGGCCCGAACTTCTTGCGCGGCCGAAAACATGCAAGAGAGACGAGCCAAATCGAAACGAGCAAAGAAGGCGGCGCGATCAACATCGGGAACCCTTCCACATGAGGCACCTCGCATCGCATATTCATCGGCAGCATTGCTGCCCATGAGCTCCCAGCGACCGAGCTCCCCAGACCCCGCGTCGCGATGGGCGCCGCGGGCGGGCGCGCTGCGCCGCCGCGAGCCGTCCAGTTAATCGAAGAATGATGCCGCAAATGAGAGCGAGCGTTTCCAGGGTTGACCGCGGCCGCGGGCCCGATGCGCTCCCGAGGGCCCCAGGTCAGCCCCCTTGCAGGTTCGCCGCGGGGGAGCGCGGCGGCGCGGCGCACGAGGGGGCCCGCCGCGTAGTCATCGCCGTCGCGGGCCACTTGGGCAGGGGCATCGCAGAGAGGCGCGCGCACCCGGAGCGCGCGAACCACGTTCCCTCGACCGTCCGCCACCGTCGCCACCCATCCCGCCGAACGAATCCTAAGGCGAGCTGGCTCGAAGCGCGAGCCATCGGAAAAGAC